TTAGACTACACGCGCCCCGACCCCACCCCCACCCCCCCCGGACTGAAGTGATGAAGGACTTGAAACCCAGGTCAGATCTTTGAGAGGTCTGCATCACCATCCTTCCCAAACCAGAACTCAGTGGTACATGCCAGATCTGCCTGTTCATCTTTCTATCAGATTGTGGATGAGCACACTCTTATTAACGAAGGGTCTTGTATTTACCTATTACCAAGTATTTACTTAGTGACATTAAGTATTTACTTAAAGCCAGGGTTACTAGTATTAGACGTCATGTTCAGGTGAACACTGCTCTTAATTTCTTAGCTTCAAAATCAGATTGACCATTGACAAAGCCACCTGTGTAGTGGCCTCTTTTATCTTACTTGCTTTCTCCAGGGAGTATGGTTGTGTGCCCCCCCCCGACCCCCAGCAGGCCTTGGCATTTAAAAAGGCTTTGAATGCCTACATTTCTTAATGGTATTTTATTTGTGTCATTCTACAGCTTCATTCATGTTGCTATTCTGATGTTTTATTGCTCTGGGAATATTTTAATATACTATTGGCTTTTTGTATTTAAAATCATATATTTCTGTATTTAAAATATGTTATCAAACAGATCTGTTATTTGCATATTTTTATTTTGTTCATTGCTGTAGGTGAACATAATATAGAAAAGTAGCTTAAGTAGGTAACAAATGTCAAATAAGATATTTTATCAGAGAGGTTTTTCACAATTTAGGAAATTGCAAGGGAGGATTTTTAAAAATGTTACCAGCTGATAGAAAGAAAAATTGAGGCTTAAGTCATTAATCTATTCTGTACTGGGATACTTTTTGATTTGTTGCTGAAAAGACGCTCAGCACAACTCTTAGAACTTACCAGCTGGCAAAATCAGCCACAGATCCTGCATGCAGGCAAAGGGTCCTAAATCAGTTAGGTGAGCAGTGATGTCACATTGAGAATTTTAAGGTGTAAAGTAGGGCTCCAGCTACTCCCTTCCTAAAGTAAAACAAGATCAGGTTATATAGGTTCATAAAGGTTAAATCCTTTGTTCAAATCCTTTGAATGTGCAAAGCCGCCCAAGAAGCATCTCTTTTCATCTCTTTTCACATTGTTAAAGGAGCCACCTTGTCTTCCAGGCATGCAGAACTGCTTAGAAGCCTGTTCCCAGCTGTTTCTTTCCCCACCCACAAGGAGGTGCATGGCAGGAGTTCAAAAGGAGGTGATTCTTCCTGTGCATTCCTACAGGTCCCAGAGCACCTCTTTCAAAAGATTTGCATACCCCTGATAAAGTTGTACATTTGAACTTGCAGTTCCACTGATAAGACTCAGAACCAAGGCTTTTTCTGTAAGCTGGGAGAGAAGGAGAGAAGGTTAGCAGAATTGTATTCATTGTGTTCACATTGTGCACATTCTTAGGTGTTTGTATGGGGATTGCTATCCTGGTAGAGACTGAGTTGTTTATTTTTCTCACACTTAATTTCCCACAGGTGCTCCACCCAAACAATTTCTATGTTTCATTCAGAAACAGTCTTCCTTTGTTGTGGGAGAGTGTCTTAAGTTCTGGGTCATCTTCCGTTGGGCTACATAATATCTCCAAAGTCCAAGTCAAAACCGGCAAAGGAGTGGGAAACTAACTGGATGGTAACAGACAACCCCATCCCTAGCTATGATTCAGTCAGGGCCAATATTAATTATAACTGAGTTGAAACTGTGGATATGTAAAGCATTAAGGAAATGAGCTATACTTTTGCTTAAATATAGATCACTATCTAAATCTTCGGAAGAACTAGGCTAGAGTATCTTATAGTTGAATTGAGAAATGGGCTGTGTGGTATATTTTGTCCTGTATTATCAGTGTGACTTCTCAAGAAGATTCTGCTCCCTCTCTATGCCTTTGCCTAGTCAACTGACCTATGTTCTTCTTACTTCTGTCAGTTACGCTGTTATTGCCTATGGATGTGCCAGCTGCCCTAAACTGACATGTGAGAGAGAAGGCTGCCAGACTGAGTTTTGCTATCACTGCAAGCAGATATGGCATCCAAACCAAACTTGCGACATGGCCCGCCAGCAGAGAGCACAAACTCTGCGGGTACGGACAAAGCACACCTCAGGCCTCAGTTATGGACAAGAGTCTGGTCCAGGTATGTATTCGTGAGCTCCTTGGTCATTGCTACTATGGCTATATCTGAAGATCTTCAGATGTGGCTATATCTGAAGATATAGAGGTTTCCTGACATCTTGATGTAGTCAGACATCTCCAGCAACCCTGGCGTGTATGATATACATGCAGTGTATAAATTTCCAGGCAAGACTTTAGTCTGCTAGCAATTCCTGAGCTTTTATTTCCATACTCGGCTTCCTGGCTGGCAATTACCTGTCAGGGACCAAGTCAGATTTCTGAAGGTGATTCCCATGTATAATAACAGTGAAAAAAACAACTTTGTGAAAAAAAGTTGCTATGCTTAACATGTGTAATTTTTCTTGATTAATAGCATCAAACATGCTGTCTTGAATTCCATGGAAGAAAATCAGTATTTATTACATTTGAATAAATATTGAATTGAAATCCCCTTTCTTTTTACTTCTTAGTTTGTTATTATGCTAAAGTGTCTCTATCTACTTGGAAGGCATCTTACCAGTGCTTTTGAGGGGCAGATGGAATTAATCTAGACAGTAAAGATGTTCTAAAATTCCAAATCCTTTAGTGATTACTAAATCACTAGTTTCTACCTGTTCCATTAGGTTGGGCAGGAGGGGCCTGCTTTGGGTCCCATCTATCAGGCATTGTCAGCTAGGTCTTCCTAGGACCTAGGAAGTGGGCCTTTTCTGTAGCTCTGCCTGCCCTCTGGAAAACTGTACCACCCAAGGTTTGGCCCGTCCCAACTCTGCTCACCTTTTGGAAAGCTTTGAAGACCCTATTTTCACAGGCATGGGGGCCAGGAGAATAATCAAGCCCATGCTATTAGTGAGTGGTGTGTTTGGGAGACACTTTGTGTTAGTCAGCTGGGAATGGTTACATTTTTTAATGTACAGTACATTACATTTATATTGTATTTTAATTTTTGTTAACCACCCAGGGTCATATTGGTGAGATGGGTGACCATGTATATCAATGTAAATAAATAGCGGGAATATAATTGTATGGGTGAATGGAGATTTCCCCCATGATATATGTACTTCTCTATAATATATTCAATTCACTGGATAGAGCTACAAAGGGGGAAAATCCACAACAACTTAGTTATTTCAGCCTAATCTTGATCTGAATCTTTAACAAGATGGGAATTTCCAATAAGACTTAATATTTTAAACATGTATGTCAAGTTCAACTTTATGTTTTCATGGTGCTTAAAACATAGAAGCTGACTTATACCAGCCTAAATTTGTCCCTGTAGCCAAATGCTATCTTTTCCAAGTAGCAACTTTTATTTATTTATTTTATTTTATTTATTTATCAAATTTGTCACCGCCTATCTCGTTAAATGACTCTGGGCAGTTTACAAAACAATTAAAATCAATTAAAATTACAATAATAAATAAAAAATAAAAAGATCCAAAATAATTGGTGATCACTCAGGGAGCGTCATCAAGGCGCTAGCCACCCCCAGGATTGGGTAGAGCTTTTCTTATAGTTCTTGCACAGAGATCTGTGTTCCCTGCTGCCTGATCTTTTTTAATGAGCACATGTGGGTTGCTGCTGAGCCACTGTCTTTTGCAATCTTGTCAAATATATCAGAACCATCATGGGGGAATTATTTGTCAGGCAGAGGATATTCGTATAATGACTGAGGCTGTGATCCTCAGTATAGTCAGCCTCAGTGTTTTGGGCTTTCATATGATTTAACCTTGACTTTTCTGTTTGGAAAGGGATGGGCTGGAAGAGTAAAGTTACATTGGTTCATCTTTCTTCTTCCTTCTTATAACGAAACAGCTGATTAATTTTCAGTTCTTTACTGGAATCTTCTTAAAATGCACAGTTAAGAAGTTTATTGGTTTTCTTTTCACTTTCACAGCAGATGACATCAAGCCATGTCCGCGCTGCAGTGCCTATATCATCAAAATGAATGATGGCAGCTGTAATCATATGACTTGTGCTGTATGTGGCTGTGAGTTCTGTTGGCTGTGCATGAAGGAAATTTCTGATTTGCATTACCTCAGGTAATTTGGAGAGCAAAATGCTCTCATGTTGCTTGTCTTGTTAGGTAATATTTGCTTATGCCTTTTTGTGTCCCCAAACCTGCAGCAGTGAAATCACACTGTTTGTATTATTCTGTGGGTACAGCAGAATAATCACAATGGTTGCCTTCCTTCATTCAGAAATTAAAGCCTGGGAGACAACATTGCTGGGACAGGAGTAATTCTTACTGAGGAGCCATTTGGTTCCTGTGAACACTCTTTCAGCCCTTTAGGAAAACAGATTGGCTAGAACATTGTAGCATATCTGTGATTCTGAATACCTGAATTCTCTAAGGGCCAACTATGAAATCTCTTGCAGTCCTTCCGGTTGCACCTTTTGGGGCAAAAAGCCATGGAGCCGTAAAAAGAAGATTCTTTGGCAACTTGGAACGTTGATTGGTGCCCCTGTGGGTATTTCTCTTATCGCTGGCATTGCTATTCCAGCCATGGTCATTGGAATCCCTGTTTATGTTGGGAGAAAGGTAAGCATGAGGAGAGTTGCAAGGTAGCATGCTATAAGTCTTACAAGTTGTATCTAATTAAAAGGAACATTGTGGTCAGCTCTTGCCTTAAAGATAGAGAATGCTTAATGTTCAAGAAAAATGTGACGTGTAAACTCAAAATGAATTATTTTCACATCTGTGGCAAGAATTAGCTATTTGTTAATTCCATATACATTTAATTAATGATTAAAAAGGAACATCACTGCAAGTTTTTGTGGTACGTTGTTGTTTATCTTTGCTGCACTGAGCTGCTTTGGATATAGTGACATTTTGGCCTCTTCTGAGCACTTGAGCCTTGTCTTTTTCTGGAGATAATGCACATACCTTCAGTTCTTCAGAACTGTATAAGTAGCATCTCCAAACTGATAATCTTTTCCTGGATTAATTCTTATTTATTCTTGATTCTTCACGTGCCAGATTCACAGCAGATATGAGGGAAAGAAGACCTCCAAGCACAAGAGGAATTTGGCTATCACGGGTGGGGTAACCTTGTCTGTGATTGCATCTCCTGTCATTGCTGCTGTCAGTGTTGGTAAGTAGATAGATTTCTCAAGTGTGTGCTAGTGTGCTTGGGCTATTACTTTACTCTGACAGTGGTTTTCAGAGTGACTGTTACCCCTGAGCGAGCACAGAAATTCTGGAACTGAATTACCAAGAAGCCTATTTAAAATTCAGATGCAGTTCTGCAGAGCAGCTGCAGGACTTCATTCAGCTTGAAGGTGGTATTCATGTTCTTCAGGTAGAAGAATTACCCTACTTATGTGTGCATTCCTAGTCAGAATGTCTGACTCTTTAAGGGGCCATCCCTGAGAATTTCATTAACCAAGTCAGAGAAGCATACCTGTTGTGTTTTCCTCATCTCTTGATAATTAGTTAGGTAACCTTCATTCAGCATAATTGACAGAATTTATAATGGAATTACAGAGGTTGGTTGGGAATATGTTTAAAGTGCTACAAAAATAGTTTTGTGCTAGATGACTGAGTTTGCTACTATATTTGCTGGAGGAAAGAAACCAGTATGGGCTCCAGAGTTCCCCTATTGTCAGTTATTTTGGTAAATCACATCCCTTGTCTTGGAGATGACTCACCATCTCTTTGATATGATTTTAGTAGGAAGCTGGTCCTGGATTCAACTGGGACCCCCTTGGCCTCTTCCCCCAGCTGCACTTGTCTCGTGATTCTGCCCACCCCTTTCCTGACATCCTTCTTTGAATCTGCTGAGAATGTTTCTTGCCTCTAATGCTGCTTTTTGTGCCTGCCTTTTGGGGCTAGGTATCGGAAGTGAGTTACTGCTCTGGTTTGCTGTTCCTGAGCACGTTCAGTGTCTAGAACAGGCAGGCAACCTCTTAGCAGCTGGGGCAACACTATATTTGGGAGAGTGGTTGAGAGCCACAGTGGGCAAAGCAGTTGTAAATTAATGGTAGGGGCTGTGTATTAAGCCTAAAAAGAAACCTATATTATTTAAAAGAACTGCCAAGAAATGGGCAAGTGTGTGTCTGCTTCTCAATAGCTTTGCCTGATGCTGTACAGTAATTTCTTGAGCAACAAAAAGGTTTTGGGAGTGCATGTGCTTCATGGCCTGGGGTTGGCCGTTCCTTATCTTGATAAACCTAAAGAGCAGCCTTGAGAAATGTGACAGTGAAGGCTCCATGGAGGCATTTTGGAAGGTTCATCCTTTGTATCAGCCTTCCACTCAAAACTCATTATTGATTTTCTTTAGCTGGTTGTTTCACATAAGCAAGCTGCATCTTTGCCATTTATATTATTGTCCCAATACATCAAAGGGTAAAGAACAAACAAGTCTGGCTACTTTGGCCTACCTTCCCTACACCTTGAAATACTTTAGGAATAGTAACTGTATAGCTTTTGCAACTCTGACTCTTTTACTAGTACTTCTCTTGTGGGGTCTGATTCTCAATTATATATCAATTTCTATGACAGTTTCATCTTTTTTCCTATGTGTTCCCTTGATTCCAGTAGTATTTCCTTCAGCATCTCTCCCTTATGAAGAATGCTGCTGTTCTGAGAGGAGAGCCCTCAAAAAAAGTATTAAAATAGATGAAACCTTTCTTGGTTCTATCATTGGGGGACGCTGACTCAATGTTTACTTCTTCAAAACGCTTACTGGGTTTTCCTGTGGAAAGCTCAAGATGCTAAAATGCAGCAGAAGTTCAGAATCTAAAATATTCAACATGCTGCATTTGGTTGTGATACCATGCTTTTCTACAAAATCTCCTTTCCTACAGCTGAAAATGATTATAAATAATAATTAAAGAAGGATATGATTGAATTCACATTTTTAAAATGTATTAAAGCAACACTCTGGTATTATTGGATTTTCATATTTCATTATTGTCTTGATTTAATAAATTGTCTTCTGCATGCCAAAGGTAGTTTAGAAAGAGGCAATTTATAACTATTTTGTATTATCGTAAGCTGTGGATTAAAGTTATATTTTAGATTCCAGCTTCTCTTTCAATTTGATAGCATGGTAATACTTTATGCGAACAAGGAGGAGGATGGTATTGGATCAGCCTCACTGGTTTCAATGTATGCTGATTAAAAGAACTATTTGTAGGAACTGGAAGGGGTGGTAGTTTTTGAACCCAGTTCATTAAATCTAAATACATAAAAACAAAATAAAAAATATTGTGTGGCTGTTACCAAAAGTGAAAGTCTAGTTGCTAGAACAAGATATTAGAAGCCTGAAGTTGGTACCAGCAATAAGCAGTTAACAGTAAGCAGCAGAGTCGTTGCTGCTTGGAAGGCAAGTAATTGGTAAAGCCTTTTTGCCATGAAACTCCCACCTGGCAGGTCTGCCCAGCCTGTGAGAACAAACCAACAGCTGGTGCTATTTCCATAGCTGGGAGTTAGAGGCTTCTCCATGACAACGGTCAGTGGCAAATTCTGCTTATCTTAAAATTGCAACTGGATTTTTTGCTGGTAGTGATTTCATTAAAAATTAATACAATTTATGAAGATGTATTTGCGCTGCATATGGGTGATTTTTGAAGATTCCAGTTTTTTGAAAACAATATAAGAGATGTAAATAACTATATCATACAAAACCTACTGCACTATTACTCAATGTTGCATAGAGTGCAGAAAACAAGAAGCCAAAGAAATTAAACGAGTGAGATAAGAAAAGAAAATGAGACATAATTAAAACTAGTTTGCCCCAACACCATATACTATGCCTTTATTTCTTTGCGAACAACCCTTGTTTCCATCATGTCACTTTATACGTTGCCTTTTGAACTCACTCTTCTTTTTTCAATATCTTTTTCTCATCCTGTTTGTGCAGCAATTGTTCTCTTATGTACATTTTTCTCATCCACAACCTCTTTCCTTTATTCTGCCAAGCATAAATGACATTAACTAGACATGATTATTCTTGGATCTAAAATTTAGTGTTACTGGTATCATTTTTTTTCAGAGGTTTTAATGATTAATCAAACAACATCTATTAGCAGAAAAAAATGTCAAGAAATAGAAAAATGCAAAATTGTTCAACAGTCAAGTGAGCTGGATTAAGGGAGGCAGACGGGACCAATGCACACATCTTGTGTGACTGAGCTAATGGTGGTGTGGCGCATTCCTGCTCCTGCCTGCTGGCTCCTTCCTGACTGCATGCCTAGCACATAGCTGTCATTTGTGGGTTGAGCGGTTAGCCTGCTGTCCAAATGGAGGAGGCATCCTGCTTTGGCCTCAGCTAACCAGAAGGCTGCCATAAATAAACCTGTTGTGATAGTTTCTTTGGGAGTAGAGAGAAAATTTGGAGGTCTTATGCCGCAGAATGGATCCTTTTGTACACTTAATCTTTGTCACAATTTTGATCCAGTGCTTATTACATTATATGTCCTGCATTTATTTTTAGGCTTTCATTTTTTGCTCATTGGAGTCATGCTTCTTAGTAAGCGAGGTTGCGCAGAAATACTGTATTGAGTGAGTCCTTGGTGCTCTTAGACACATGAAGCATTGCTTTTTAGGCTCTGAAGTCTGTTGGAAATCATTCCTTTCAAATGCTCTGGACAGCCAAGATCTGTGATCCCACTTAGAATACTTTTTTGTTGCTGCTGTTCAAGACTAGCCTATCATAAACAAGGTTTTAATTTAAGATTGTTTCCAGCATTCTCCCTAGCCAAGATTTAAAAAAGAAATAAATTATCATACCCCTTTTATCATTATCACCTGAATGATGATTGGGTGTGTTTTCTAAACTTAATATAAACTGAGACTTTACCTTCTGTCCGCAAAGAACCAGTGATTTTTTCAAGGGCAATAACATCTGTCATGATTCTTACTACCAAGGCAATCCAGCCTCCATATATTCTTGTTTCACTTTTCTCCTGTCATTCATTCTTTCGCCATTTGGTCAGTCTTTGCACATAATTACTGAGGGATCTCCTGTTTGAGGGTCTCTTGTTTCTATTGGTCTTTATCCACCTTGTTCTATTCATAGTTATAAAGCATCTTGCCTTTGTCCTGGTGCTGTATCTTCTAAGGCTTTGGTGACGTAAAAAGCCTCATGTTCAAGTATCTTAATTACCAATCAGCCAGTTGTAGTACCATGCTTAGACGGGAGAGGAAAACCCCCAAAAGGAACAGGTGATTGACGCATAGTAGCCATCAGTGCAGTTACTCCACCCCACCCTTTCCCACCACTGGTATCCATAGTCTAGTTATGGACACATCCCTACTGGCAAGAAAGATCAGGGACATTAAGCCTTTAGGACAGTCTGTAGATGCTTCGTGTAGGAAAGCAGAGATGGCCACATGTAGGAATGATATTTACCAACAGTTACCTTCTCTCCCATGCATATAAGATGCACCACCAGGGGCTAAGATAGGGCTATGCATTTGTAACTTTACAGATTGGATTGCCCCCTACAGTCCCACTGGTCTTGGTTCAGAGATTAAATACCTTCTATGAGCAATTGGTAGCAATTGTTGAGACGCACTACTTTGATTTGAAAAGCGCTTTTTTTCACGTAGGGTTGATATGCATCCTTTGTTCCCAGGTATTGGTGTCCCTATCATGTTGGCCTACGTGTACGGAGTAGTCCCAATTTCTTTGTGCCGAGGAGGAGGTTGTGGTGTCAGCACAGCCAATGGAAAAGGGGTTAAAATTGAGTTTGATGAAGATGATGGGCCAATTACAGGTAAAGAAGTATCCCATTGTGGTCATAATCTTGGGGGGGGGGCAGGTGGGAACAAGCAGGGCAGTGCTTGAGTGTCTCTGTGGGCAACTTTGGATGGGTGAGGTCATTCTTACGCAGTGAATTTGTAAAGACAAGTAGAGACTGTTGCAGGTAAAGCATATTGCATATTTCTTTATCACTCCCACACAAAAATATTTCTAAATTACCCAATTATAGCTACTTTAGTACTAATTTATTTATTATATTAGTACTTATATAATTTTATAAGCGATTTATATAGCTGCCCATCTCACTTTTACATGACTCTAGGTGGCTTACAGTAAAACAAATAAAAACACAAAGTACATAATATAAAACAAAAATAAAAGCACATAGCCAGGCACAATCTAGTCCATCTTCCATACAACCAGGGGATGGGCTCTAACCCAATCCCAGGGCCCCAGGCTCAAGCACAAAGCCAGTATTTTACTTCTTGGTGCATAGTTCTGACTGATTCATCTTTTACTGCAAGAATGCCTCCCTCTGATTACCTTGAGTTTTGTGCTCATTCACCTCCTCCTCCTTGTTTAGTGGCAGATGCTTGGAGGGCCCTCAAGAATCCCAGCATTGGAGAGAGCAGTATTGAAGGGCTGACGAGTGTTTTGAGCACCAGTGGGAGCCCCACTGATGGGCTCAGCGTCATGCAGGGCAACTACAGTGAGACAGCCAGCTTTGCTGCGCTCTCAGGAGGCACCCTGAGCGGTGGAGTCCTTTTAGGGGGGAAAGGAAAATACAGCAGGTAAATATTCATGCTCGCTGAAGACTGAGTGTGCACATGTGTTTTGCGGTATCATGGAATCTGGGACCACATATAAGTGGAAAACATAGTTTGATTCTGTTGTAGAACACCCAACTTAGCTGTGCTGTGATAATATGGCCTCTCTTCTGGTTCTCTGGTGACTTGTGTAAATAATAATGAATTGGTTGCCTTTCTGAGGATTAGAAGGCTTTTGCAGTTTAGCATTATATTAGCTCAGTGGCAGGGGAGCTTGTCTCCTGAACCATATGCTTATGACCCAGTTTTTTCCTCTGCTCCCAAGTGAAACACAGATCCCCCTCCTGCAAACAACCAGCAACCGAGAAATTGCCTGTGGGATGTTCAGGAATGTGTGCTGAAGAGTGGGCGTCACAAGCACAACTATGGTGGTGCTACTTAGAACAAAAGAATCAGAGCCAAAGTTCAGCCAAATGAATGACGTGAACAGATGCTGCTTAAAACTGAGCCATGTGATGCTTAATTCTTGTGGCTGTCTTCACTCATCGTTTTGATGTAATCTGGAGCATGTTCTAGCTCAGCTAGGTGGGCTTTGGGGAAACATCAACATGATATGCCCTGATGCTAGTTCCTTTCTCCTGCTCAGGCTTGAAGTGCAGGCTGATGTGCAGAAGGAGATCTTCCCAAAAGATTCGGTCAGCCTGGGAGCCATCAGTGACAATGCAAGCACACGGGCTATGGCAGGCTCCATCATCAGCTCTTACAACCCCCAGGACAGGTGAGCCAAGCCAGCTAACAGTGCTGGGAGGTCAACATTAGTGTTCTTCAGAGAAAGCTTTTATACGGCTTAGTCTTGCCAAAAAAGCGTCCCTGTTTTTGCTGTGTTTGGGTAGAAAACAAGCGCGGATTCTGTAGAACAGCTCGATCAGAAGCTGTGCATGTGGACGGCTCCAATTGTTCATGCTGCACGTGGGCTGCTTGCAGACCGTGCAAGTAGAACTGTGATGAAAAATTAATTGGAAGTTGATGCGGATCAGCAAGAATGCACACAAACATTTATTTTGAGTCTAGGTTTATTAACAACTTTTCTGATATCCATGCAGGATCTGTGCATGTTATATTTTTTGCCTCAGTAGCATTAATTAAAATTGGGGAAGCTCCCTAGAACTCTGTGTGATAGTTCACACACTGGTATATATTTCATTATTCTGTCCTTTGTGTAAAATCCTATGACAAATAGCTTAATTTGTATAGCCTTTCAACTATAAGACTTCCCGCAGTAGGAAGGGCTATGCATAGAAGGGAAGCCAATTCTCCATGTGGTTGGTTCTCCCTGACTGTGTGGTGGCCATGCTTGAAAATGTGGAACGTGCAGAGCAGCCAGTAACCCCAGCCTGGTAAGAAAAATGCTGGAAGGGGTTTGGTTTGCCGTCTCAGCTGGCATTTGTGGATAGCAGATAAAAGGAAGTCTTGGTAATTCTTATATCTGCTCAGGGCATCACTGAAGACCCTGCTTTATTCCTAATTCCCCTTACGTGGAAAATGTGCAGGTTGGCCATCACGTGTTTGTTTCCCAAACAGAAGAGGAGGAACAATTGTACTCTATTTGAAAGTTACAGCGCCAGGTTAAAGGGGAATCCACCACGCTGCTATATTACTTTCCATACACTGGGAGGCTTTAATATGAGGGGGGCGGTCAGTTGCGGTGCTCCCATAACTCATCTCAGGAAGGCTACACTCAGTCCCCGCCCACTTCCTGTTTGTCCTCAGATTAACATCTCTGTACAAGTTATCTTACAATTTGTTAACAATGTTTGTAATCGGGAACTTCACACGGTACCCTTTTCCCACAGAGAATGTAATAACATGGAAATCCAGGTGGACATAGAGACCAAGCCCAGCCATTACCAGCTGGTTAGCGGAAGCAGTACTGAGGATTCTCTCCATGTTCCGACCCAAATGGCAGAAAATGAGGAGGAAGAGGAAGAGGAGCAGATATGCAACCACCAAAGCTGTGAGCAGAAGGACTGTGTAGCCAGCAAAACCTGGGACATCACTCTAGCACAGCCTGAAAGCATCCGTAGTGACCTGGAGAGCTCAGACAGCCAATCCGACGACGTGCCCGACCTCACCTTGGATGAATGCGATTCCCCCTACCCCCAGACTGCTGCCTGCCTCCATACCCCCAGTGCCAGAGGTGCTGAAAGCCCAAGTGCCCGTATTGGCCACTGTGCCCAAGCAGAAGGACACCGGCCAGAGGAGAGAACGCTGGAGTGCCTTGAGGCCCGAGGATGAAGCCCCCCCTTCCCTCCCTCCCTCCCCGCCCTCGCTGAGGCCACCCTGGGGCAGTACGTCCTTGTGGCTTTCGCTCCTCCTTCCCTGGGTGACTGCCCTAATCTGGACTCTGGGGAAACGGCTTTTCTTACATGAGGATAAAACCTTGGTTTTCTTTTTTTATTTATTGATTTAAGCGCTTGGTGATGCTCAGTGAGTTGTGTAAGAGTGTACATAAATGTGCGCGTGTATATCGTATGTTTGCCAAACACACACCTAAAGAATGCCTTTAATAAATATTCCTGTTCCATTCTCATTGGATCCCGTTTGCCCAGTGAATTTGTCTGGATGTTCTATTATGTCCTTCTGTGTTCCTGAAGCTTGAGCCGGCGCATACATAGCGCTCTTTCACCGGCCCTGCTGCTTAGGAGTCTAGGTGTGGCAGGCAGACTCCTCTGCAGGACTCCGAGTCAAAGCATGTATATTTGCTGCCCCCTACAGGATGTTGGTCCCCATGGCTGAATTCCTCCTTTGGACAGAGAAATAGGATCCTGACATTGGAGCAGGTGGGCTGGGGTTCTTCCGATGGTTTGGAGGAGAGTTTAGAGGGCATCGGATTGCCTATTCCTGCTGCCTGGGATTCACTGTGTTCAGATTTGGGGGCTGGAATTGCCTAACAGGTTAAACCCCAAACCCGAAAGAACAGCTGCTGTATTCCCAAACAAGTGAGCCCTTCCTAGGACACCTTAGATGCCCTACAAAGGGAAGGCATGTTTCATGCAACATTCTAAGACAATGGGTGGGTTTCCGTAAGCTAAACTGCAAATATCTTAATCCCATTTGACCCGAGTCTAGTAAATTGTATGAATTAAGCCATGAAGTAATAAGGATATTTAAAATGCATGTGTTTTTGGTTTTCAGCTGCAGAAAGGAAGAATATTTCTGAATGTTACATGAAATGCAAGAGGGGAAAGGATTTATATTGTGGAACTGTCCTATAGCGAGTGCATGTTCCACTTCATTTTTAATACTACTTGCTGCATCCAAACAGTGTAGGAATATGGAACAGGAATACGTCGTTTGCATTTTAACCCCGGGCACTGTTAAACAGCACAAAATAAATGTTTGTACAAAGAGCAAACAATGAAGAGGTAATATAGCGTAACCCTCTAGGAAGCTCTGATACCTCATCCTCTTCCCCCTTTTCTTTGTCCTGGTATAAACGGTGCCGTTCTGTTCATCTGCACTCCTTGGTGCAGATCTGCTATTAAACGCTGCAGAGGAGGGCTATTTAGACCAAGCATACTTCTTGGATGTTGTGAAGTACAATTTCAGATGTTCAGGAAAACCATGTGGTACAGTCCTTTCAGTTTGTCATTGCGTATATTGCATGTTTGAATGTTGAAAATGTCCTGCCTATAAAAAAGAAGAAACCTGAATCTTCGTCCATTGTATGCTAGCATCCTGCGTGCAGGGAGTTTTTGATGGCTATTTCAAAATGTAACACCTGTTGCATTCCAAAGTGGTACCCAGTCATTGACTCGAGGCTGCGGCATCGGACCCCTGCTCAGTGTGGGAGTCAAAGCTGGCTCGACTCCTCCAGGGAAGGGGAGCGGGCTGCCTCTCTTGAGTGTCGTTCCCCCTGCCACTTTTCCTCCTTTCCACCAGAATCTGCTTCTTCTAACTTGAGTTCATTATTCTGTGGCTGCATTCTGGAGTGACAGAGAACAGATCCCTTTGGAGGCCCTCTTTCATTAGCTTCTGCTGCCACCACATCACAGCTGCAACTGCTCCAAGTTCTTGAGCTCCAAGAGGAGCATTCGATCACCCTCAGCTTTACAGTCCCTTGAAATCGAGCCCTCCAATGTTCTCAGTTGTCCCAATGATTAATATCCTGTGCCTTCCTCCTCGCTCTGAAGGAGAGTTTTCAGGGAGACAAGTCATGGATTTCCTGGAAGGAACATGCTGGGGAGAGAATGTATTTATCAAATTTATACACTGCCCATCTCACTGTATAAATGACTCTAGGTGGTTTACAAGTAAAAAACTAAAAAATCTTTACAAAAATATACAAAGCTGAAAGCTAAAAAAGTTAAAGCTGAAAACTAAAAAGATTAAAAAGGTGGAGAGAGCATCCTCAAGTTACCAACTACCCCCAGTGCTGCAAGCCTCCGTTGGGTCCCCACGGAAATTTATTTTATTTTATTTTATTTATTTATTTAATAGACTTGTCCCCGCCCATCTCCCCGCAACGGGGGACCCTTTGGCAGAGCCAGGCCTTAATGCCCTTTCGGAAGGCCAGCAGAGTGGGGGCCAACCTCACCTCAGGGGCAAGATGTTCCAGAGGGCAGGAGCCATGGCAGAAAAGGCTCTCCTCCTGGACCCCGCCAGTCAAAACTGTCTAGGTAACTGGATACATAACATACCCTTCCTAGCGGACCAGGCTTGCCTCCCGAGTGATGCTGGGTTAATTACATTTCTCCCCCATACCTCTTTGATTGCATAGCTCTGCCCTTGGTGCTCGGAGTCTTGCTTGGGAAGCTGACACCAGCAGCCCTCCTGGGCTCGGGCAGCACAATGTCAGGCCATGCAGCTGGGAGGCTCTGGCTGCCACATCTGGGGGTTCCTGGCAGAGATGGTGAAGGCATGCCTCTGTCTCCTTGAATAGGTCAGCTACTGGTTGACCTGGCCTGGGCTTGAAGCTAATCAGTGGTTTCTGGACAAGACACCACCAGGAAATTGCAGCACGGTAAACTAGGCTGGGAAATTAAAAAAAAAAATCTGGAAGACGACAATGGCAAACCACTTACATACTGTTGACATGAAAATTACACGGGCATGTCCCTGAAGGTCAAGGAAGATTTTACTTTTAAAATAAAAGCACCTATCAATTCTTTATCTGTGCTTTTTATATTATAAAATAACAAGTTTTATAGACAGAGATCAACCAGATAAAACCTGTTACATAACTTATAGTACATAAAGCACTATAAAAAAGGCCTATACAATGGCACAGCAAACATAAAACTCAGGAACAGCAATAAAGTAGGAATAGTTACAGCAAAATGTTTTTTTAAAAAAGCAAAAGATAGATGTTCTGAAATGATCTTAACTGGCCGTTTAGGGCCCAAAGTGGGCCTCCCTCCACAGACAAGATGCCAGGGGCCGTGGCCTTCTCTCTTGTGGCTTCCTGCCTGCCTGCGGGGACACCTGGAGAAGGACACCTGGCAAACAGCTGAGGCTCTTGATGGAAAAGGCTCCCTTTTCCCCACCTCCATTTCTCTGGACTCCTCCAGCCTTTGGCTCCTTCCTTGAGTTTAGGTGGCAGCACCCAGCCAAGCTTGGCTAACTTCTGAAAGCTACGCAAGGTGAGACCTTGAAAGATCTTGGATGGGGCACCACCGGGAAACTCCAGGACCCTGAGCCAGATTCTAGAAAGCCATTTCATGGGCCCAAAAGCTGCAATGGAGAGTCAGCTCAAAGGAAACTGAACTTTTTCACGCTTCATACCTAACCGTGATTTGTAATCTATACCGGCTGGGTTCACGCACCATATTTAGCCAAAAGCAAAGCCAAAACCAGCCAGAGGGCTGACTCAGCAAACCAGGGTTACACAAACCACGGCTAAGGGGCTGGTTTGAGCCCGGCTGCCTGGGGTCCGAGGCGCAAGTCCCCACCGAAGCTGCCGCCCCTTGCTCG